GTAGCGCTTACTAGCCATATGCGTTGCACATAAATATCAGTAGCGTGGTACAAAAGAGCGTTACCTCTATCTTCAGTTACCAGTAGCGCTAGGACAAGCAAGCGCTACTGCTAAAAAAACGTTGCAGCGCCATAGCAGTAGCGCGTCTGCCAGCGCTACTGGTAAGGTTTTTCCTAGTAGTGTCATATTCATTCTCCTTGCCTGCCTCCTATTTTTGGATAGCCCTTTGACCTCACCTCCGACATTACTATCACATAGTCATCACACTTCTTTGTCATGGTTCATATTCTCTCTAGCCACAAATGATAGTGCGTTAAACACCTGACGTTAATATTCTCGCACTATCGCATACATTTGACAATAGTTACAATTGTCGTGGTAGGCAAAATAGAGGCAATGTTATTGTCTATAGCGAGACGCTTATAGTGACTTTGTCAATCTCAAGACCCACCGGCTTAGTCTCTTGGAGGTGCTCAAAGTGATAGGGTGCGCATGAGTGTGTTCACTTGTGAAATAATGCATTTTCATAAAGACATAATATAATCTTTCTCATCTCTTTGTTCCTTTTGTTTCTTCCTCAATCACTACCGCAAGAAGACATAATAGCATCTTCATTCTCCCTTTTTGCCTCCTATTTCCTTTTTGATAGCCCTTCGACCTCACCTCAGACATTGCTATCACATAATCACCGCTCTTCTTTGCCATGGCTCATAACCTTTCTAGCCACAGATGATAATGCATTAAACACCTCATGTTAATATTCTCACACTATGACATACATTTGACAATAGTGCCAACTAGAAGGGTTGGGCGCACATTGTTGTGCCGTTGGTGTTGTTATGTATCTTAAAAAAAATACACACCCTCTTTTAAAATATGAAGTGTATTACTTATTTGGAGAGTCAAACCTTTTAAGTTTGATCAAATTTGTAGAGAAATATATAATCAGTATGATTAGATTCGTCATGAAATGAATTTTCATACTTTTCCGTTTAATATTGTGGATCTCGAATTTTTTGTTCTGAACTTCGTCAATTTTTTTTAAAAATGACTTTTCAAAAATTAATACCCCTTATATTTTGGAACTGGTGGAATATTTAGTTTGGTGGGTGGGGGAGATGATCGAGTGTGTTTTATTTTTGTTTATAAAATGCGGTGATTTGATGGGCCTTTTGGTGGTTCTATGTTATCCGCGAACCAATGTATATTTATATGGGGAAATTTATGCGACGGTGGTTGCATGTACTATACTGGTGCTACACTATCACATGGTGGCTCTTCTTTTTTCTAGGTGAAGGGACGGTGCACGGGATTGATGTGTTTTATAGGCCGGTTGTTGCTGATTGATTTGAAAAATCGTTGTCCCAATCAAAATCGTTGACCAAATCTAAAATTAAGTATCTCAACTAAATGAAAGAGCTTTAAAATTAGGAAACATAGTGAACTGGAAGAATTGAGTGAGAGAGCTCCTTGAGGAATTATTGACCCGATCAAAATCGGGTGATCCTTTCTAAATCGAAGACCTCAGTTGAGACCTTAAAAATTAGAAAGGACAATGTATAGTATAAAATAATTGAATGAGAGAGTTTGAGAAAATTATTGACATAGTTAAAATCAGGTAACCCAATTTCAATTGAAAACCTCAATTGAATGTGGGCTCTTTGAAAATAGGAGCATAGTGTTATAGAGGATTGTCGTGGTAGGTGGAATATTCTTGAGATGATTATTTTTGTGCCCCTAGTGGTGTCTCAATCGGCTGTTTTGCCCCTAATTTTCAAAATGCATCAGTCTTGCCAAGGCCCTTTGCTTCTTTTATGTGTTTGTCCTTTGACCATCTTTTGACTGTGTGGCACAAAGCAACTCCACCCTAATGATTTTTAATGGCAACTTTAGTTATTCAAGGATGACAACTTTAGTTATGAAGCATAGCACATTCTATTTGGATGGCAAGTTTCAGTCTTTTTAGTGTTCTTTTTTGAATTGCAATTTTAATATAAAAATATCATGGTGGTGTTACTTCGTGCCACACATGAGTTTAATTTTAAGGGTTTTCATTTTCTTCTCCAAGCCGACTCCCTGGCTCCGTGTGAACAGCTAGGGTGGTTGTGTTCTGGGCTTAAGCGGGCTTCTGCCCTTTTCCTAGTAGGCCGCCAGCCACAGCCCACAAAACACACCCGCAGACTCAACGGGAACAGGGGAACCATGTTGCGGGCGGCGGCGTCAAGGTGCGCCGGCGGCGCCATCCGGCGGCTGTCGGTGGCTTCGTACCCAGAAGCGGTAGGCGCGCGGAGGAAGCCTCCCCTGGATGAGGGGGACTGGTCCTACTACAAGGAGTGGTGGGGCGAGGACGACGGCCCCGGCGTTGGAGCTCACACCGTCTTCTGCCGCCACTCCGAGCATGGCAATGGCGTCGTCTCCGTCGTCGCCTACCCAGCCACCCGACCGGTAGCTTCCCCTTGTCTTCTCCCTAGTTCCCTTTTGTTCCACTTCTTGCTTGAAGAAATGGAGATGAACAACTCGTCGTCTACTGTCGATGTTACAGAACTTTTTTTTGCCGATTGGAGCCACTAGAAGCGGTATCATCCAAGTACTATAAACTTAGTAATCAAACTTCTAGGTTTTGTTTTAGATCCATGCTGGTTCCTGGACAAAAGGGTTGGTTTTGATGCAATTCACATCTTGTGGTTTTGAACATGGCCACATGAGGCAAAATGCTGCCACTCTACATTTTGTCCAACTTAAATTTTCGTATGCTGCTTATCATGGTAATCGATTATGTGCCACTATGATCATATATGAGTCTTGTGATTTATCGCACTGTAAATAATAATGATTTTTTGAAGATTTTAGCTCAACCTATTTTGGATTCATACAGAAATACAAATTGTTTTGCTGTGACAGGCCAGCGATCAGTGGCCAGTGACGGAGAGATGGCTTCAGGAAAGAAATTCGGCAATGTACCCAGAATCAAGTGGTGCTGACCAGTTTAAGATACTAGGCTACCAGTGGCGAGTAATGCGCTTTAACGACCATACACGGCAAAGTACTGCAAAAGTAATGGCGTGTTACCGGTCTGGGGGTGATAGAGCATTATACTCAATGCAGCAACCCAATTGTTTAGCTGTTCCTTGTGAGTTCACCTGCACTATGTTCATACCAATGCTGATTGATGATAATATATCCATGCTGGTTTTTATTTTTTGGATTCATTTTGCATCTGTTAATGTATAAGCATAACTTAGAATGATGGCTTCTTGCATACAAATCAAGTATACACACACTTACAGGTCCAAAGACATCAGTAAAATATAATTCCTTGATTATTTCTTAGCTGCAAGTTTTATATGCCATCAAGATCGCAGGAAGAATTTCTGCTAGGTGTGCATGGAACTGTTATTTGCAAAACTAAAGCAATTTTGTTGGCACTTGAGCTTTGTCTTTTGCTTTGGTACTATCATCTAACCGTCATTATTTGCAGATGTCAAGAGCATGGTATCAGCAGGGTTGACAGCACTCCCTAGTTGTTCTTATGATCTCCCTCAAGCAGTTTCTGAGCCGAACACTATGAAAATTCTTTGTATCGGTCATGGTGGCGGCAGCATACCATTGTTTTTGGCTAGTAAATTCAAAGGTATGTACTACCACAGGTTTTACTGATGATATTACTGCATAGATTGATACTGGATTTTTATTTGTTTTGCTGATACTTTGCTTCATGTACAGTGAACTTGAAATGAAGTTATTATCTTCTGGTCTTTGTTGGTCAGTTAGAAACTATACCTGGCTTGGCTTGTTTAACTGCAAAACAAAGTGCAGTACTAATAAGTAATACTCCCTCGGTCCCAAAATAAGTGTCTCGGGCTTAGTACAACTAACTAGTACAAAGTTGAGACATTTATTTTGGGACAGAGGGAGTAACTCGCAAGTGAATACACAATAATTTTTAGATGTGCAAATGCACTCCCAGCTCTAAATAGTTGGGAGTCAGGTCATTTGATGGAACATTTGGTCTAACATACATACTATTCCTATCGTAGTTCTAGTTGTAGATCCTCGAGTCTGCAGTTGTTCACCTCATCGAAACACTCAACATATTTCATCTGTTTCAGGTGCTGATGTCCACATTGTGGAGATCGATCCAGTCGTCGTCTCAGCCTCGGTCGAATCCATGGGCTTCCCCGCATCATGCGCGAAAGGGTTATCAGCCCACACCATGCAGCCCGCCGACGGCGACGAGCTACTATGGAACGGCGTCCACGACCGCATCTCCCTCCACATAGAAGACGCGGAGGACTTCATCGCCGGCGACAGCAACGTCTACGACCTGGTCTTCATCGACGCGTACGACGGGAACGACATATTCCCCCGCAAGCTCTGGGACGCCGACGGGGCGTTCCTGAGGAACCTGGAGGAGAAGGTTCACCCGGTCCATGGCACCGTGGTGGTGAACCTGCACTCGGACTCGGGGCCGTCATCCCCCGACGTCGACGACGAGGCCCCCTTCGAGAACGTGCTCCCCATGGGCAGGTACGTCTCCCACGTCTCCCGGGCCTACAAGCGGCATTTCGGGCTGGCCTTCACGGTGGCCTCCCCCTGGCTCTGCAACATCACACTGGTCGCCTGCCGCGACAAGGCGATACTGCGCAGCGCGCCGGTAGGGCGCAGCCATAGGGATTTTGTTCTCAGCAAGCTTCTGTCGAGGTCGAGCATGGTCGAGCAGGCGCTCGACCTGCCGTTCCCCTGTCTGCTGTACGTCAAGAATGGCTTCACGCTGGTTGAATGATGTGTTTGTTCTTTTGGACGGAGAGCGCGAGAATAATCTGATCTTTTATGCCCAATCCTCTCTTGTTGGCACCATTTGCTCTCCCACATTGCTGAATCATGAGCTCGTGCGGGGGTTTTATTGTAACCTGCCGGCGAGCAGTGCGCGGGCATCAAGTTGATGAATGTGTTGTGTGCTTCTTCTCTTTTCAAGGTTCATCTTCACTTTTAGCTGTCCAAACTGAAAAAATGTTCCCGAACAGGAGCCCTAAGGGCATCTCCAGCCGCGCCCCCAACAGGCCCTTCCCAGGCGATTTTGCCGCGCCGGCGCCAAAAAAAGGCCCCAGTCGCGCCCCCAGAAACCCGTTTTTCGCCGGCTCGGGCCAAAACTGGTGCCGGCGGACCCAGGCCGAACCCGGCGTCCTGGGGGGCGCTTGGGGAGCCGGCACAAGCGAAAAAGGCGCGTGGGCCCGCCCTGGAAGCGACCCGAGGGCCTTTTCCCGCTGTTTCTTGACGTTTTCCCCTCGCATCTCTCCCGCTCGCTCGCCTCCCTCCCGCCATTCTCTCCCTTTCTCCCGCCAAACCCCCTCCCGCTCGCCGCGAAGAAGCACGCCATGCCGCCGAAGAAGTACGCCATGCCGCGCGCGGCGGCAACCGCGACTGGCGCCGTGGCCCAGCCGAAGCAGAGGAAGCCGAGGGCGCCGCCATCGAAGCCACCGGGCCTGTTGAATGCCGAGTGGAGGGTGGAAGTTCAGCGGCGCGAAGCAGTCACCGCCGACAGGCGGAACAGGGCCATAGCCAAGAAGGCCCGCGACAACGCGGCGCGCGCGGTGGCGTCTTCCTCATCGGTCGACCAGGCGGGGATGAATCCACCCGTCGTCAGCCACGCCCAGTACGCGCCCTGGGGACAGCAAGGCGCCGGATCTCCATGGGGTTCATCGTCGCCCGGCTACGCCGACGGCGACGCGCACGGTGGGTTCAACCCAAACGTGACCTTCCCTCATGGTCACCCCGCTACGCGCACGCCCTCGGCCGCCTTCGTCGGCGTGCAGTACCCTCCATACAACTACTCGCCGCCCGCCTCCTACGCGTCCACACCGACGCCCCATCTCTACCGCGGACCGCTGCCCTTCTCGCACCTCGGCGACGCCGACGACACGGGAGCCGACATGGACGACATCATTGCGACAGGATCGACCGCGGCCGCCGCGTCTCCCGGGTTCGCCACCCAGGACGAGGTAGTGGACCTCAACGGCGACATGGAGGCCGAGCTTGGCTACGTCTACGGCGACGACACGCAGGAACCCGAGGAGGATGAGGAGGAGGAGGAGGAGGAGTCGGCTCCTGTTCCGACAAAGGGGCGCCGGAAGAAGAAGAAGCGGGCGGCTAGTTCAGGCGAACCGCGCATCAAGTGGACGTCCAAGGAGGAGGAATGCCTTGCCGAAGCATGGAAAGTCGTCTGCCTTGACCCGACCACCGGCGCGAACCAGAGCTTGGACACGTACTGGGACCGCATCAAGGCCGAGTTCGACGAGCGGAAGCTCGTCGACCCCTACTTCAAAGGCGTCTACATGCAGCGCGGCTCCAAGGCGATGGCGAACCATTGGGGGCGTATCCAGTTGGCGTGCAACAAATGGCATGGAATCGTCGAGGAGGTCGCGGCTCACCCAAAGAGCGGCGCCAGCGTTGAGGATCAGGTACGCACGCCGTTCGCCCGCATATCTTCGTCCCCTACGCCCGCCGCCCGCCAACTGTTTGTCCCTCCGCGTAGCTGCTGCGTATGTTCGCCATGTATCGGGGCGACAATCAAGACGCCGACTTCAAGCACCTCCACGTCTACAAGCGCATTGACAAGTGCGAGAAGTGGGCGGAAGTCCGACGTGCCCTCGACAAGGCCAAGGAGACATACAAGCCAGACGCGACGACTCCGGGCGCGTCAGAGGGACGGCCGGACGGCCACAAATTGGCAAAGAAGGGGAAAAGCGCCGACGCGGCAACCGCGCGAGTGCAGGAGTCCATCGAGCATTGCCTCGCCGACGCCCAGGCCCGAGCCGTCCTACGCGAAGAGAAGACCGAGGCGCGGTGGTCGTCGCTAATGAAGAACAACGCCATCAAGCTCGACCTGCTCCGGACGAACGTCGCCGCGAAGAAGAGGAACACCGACATGGCTTTTCTGATGAGCGGGGCGGACATGGTCCAGAGCAACGACGAGAAGCTCAAGGCGTGGTACCTGGTGCAGTGCGGCCTCATCCTGAACGAGCTGCCGACGGCAACGCCGACGACACCCACGACCACACGGACTCCAAGCCCGAACAACGCCTCTACATCGCCGCCCAGCAGTGCCGAAGCCGCGCCGACGCAGCCTTGCACCGAAGCAGCTCCGACACCGACGAGCCCGCGCACGCCGACTCCGCCAACGCCTGGAGCCGACCCTGCCGAGTGAATCGTTGCCCACGGCGGCGCTCTATTTTTTGTAACGCCAGACTATGTCCGTCCGATCGCCGGATTTGCGGCGTCTTTTGAGAAGCGGGAACGACCAAGTTTGAATTTCCCGCATCCTGGGGCCGACGCGTGGGGGCGTGACTAGGAGCTAGGTCGCCATCAGGGGCTGAACTAGCGCCGGCACGTCCCCAGACCGCTCTATTTAGACGCCCTGGAGGGCCGAACGGCTAGAGATGCCCTAAGCAACACGGCCCGGAGGTCCAGGTTACACGGCGTGTAATTTGACTTGTGAGGAGATGTGGCCAGAAAGTCTGGGGCGGGCACGTGAGATACATGAAACCGGACGCCGGTGGGCGGTGGCTTAGATTTTGGAACGGTGGGTGCGTGCCCACGAGGTTCCTGCGCTTCCAAATTGGCCCGCAATCATCTCCAAGCAACGCCCGGTTGACAGATGGCTTAATCTACAACCCTCTTGTCCTAGCATGCAGAGGCAGGATGGGGGTTATTCTCCTTTTCGAAGAAAGGAAAACGTTACAAAGAGGCCAGATGTGCATTCGTTGTGTTTGTATCCGCTTGGTGCTTCATTTTTAAGTCAATAAAATTCATCATTTGTCGAAAAAAAAACCTCTTGCCCTTGCCAGCTATCCGTGGCTTGCATTTGCAGTCGAAAACAAAATGTGCACACTACACGCATGTAGAATTGTGGAGTAGCATTCAACACAGTACACAAGCTTGGAGTTAAAGCATGAGGCGCCGTCGCCGGCGGTGAGAAGTCACGAGATGCGTGCGTATCAGCCCGGTTGAAGCGTTTCCTTTTCCTTCCTGGATCGAAATATTGAGCAGAGACGTGTTTTTGGTCTAGAACTTTGTTTCTTGTAAGTTCGATAATGGTTCACGTGCATGCGCCGACCGCCATACAGGTCCAAGCAACGCGGTTCTTGTGCTATTAATAAAATCGATCAGGCCACGAGACGAGAGGTGAGATCTCGACTTGGGAACTCTCACAAGAAGACGCCCAGACGAGAGGAGAGGATGCTGCTGAGGAGCTCCTCCACGCCATTCCTGCGCTCCTTCCTCTCCTCCTCTTCCTCCCCTTCGCCCCCTTCCTCCCTCCAGCTCCGGCGGGCCTTCTCCGACGGCCACCTCCCTTCGCTCAACCCCTCCTCCTCCGGCGACAACGACAGCAACAGAACCACCGGCCTCCACACCGAGCTCTCCTTCTCCATCTACAACACCTTCAGCAAAGCCAAGCTGGAGCCCCACCAGGAGCAGGAGATGGAGGAGGAGCAGGAGCAGACGGCGCAGCCTGAGCTGCCGGAGCTGCCGCTGTTCCTGGCGAGGGGCATGGGCATCGACCGCCTCGCCTCCGGCCTCTTCACCGCCGGCATGGGCTCCGAGGCTGCCCTGGCTAGGATGGCCAGCGGGGTGGACCAGAAGGCGGTGCTGGCGCTGGACGCCCAGTACAAGGAGATGGTCGACGAGCAGCCCGGCAACGCCCTGTTCCTGCGCAACTACGCGCAGTTCCTGCACGAGGTGCGTGCGTCGTATCATCTGGCTCTGCTAACTTCTTGATGTCAGAAAGATCTTTAGTTTACACAGTTACAGTAGTTCTTGATCTGCTGTGTCCTTGTACCAACTGATGGATGAATCAGGTGAAGTGCGACCCGAGAAGGGCGGAGGAGTACTACTCGCGCGCCATGCTCGCCGACCCGACCGACGGCGAGATCATGTCGCAGTACGCCAAGCTGATGTGGGCGGTGCACCGCGACCACGAGAGGTCCCTCACCTACTTCCAGAAGTCGGTGCAGGCAGCCCCGCGGGACAGGTACGCTCCCTCCGCCACACAAATACTGTAATAGTAATAATGATAAATCTAGGCCCCTTCGAGCTGGTCGGCATGGCTGACCGTGCTGGTGTTGTGGCGACGTGCATGGCAGCCACGTCCTCGCGGCGTACGCCAGCTTCCTGTGGGAGCAGGACGAGGACGACGACAACGATGATGGTGGTGTTGGGGGAGGCGAGCAGGGAGCACCCGGGCGTGCTGCGCAGCCGAGGCAGCTGTCTTCCGCGGCCGTTTGACCAGGGTGGCCGAGATGTGCTAACGATGTGCATGCTGATGAGTGATGATCATGCGTGTATGATGTTTCTGTGTAATCTGCAAAATGTTTGGACGGTCGAGGTGCTGCTACAGAATAAAGAACGTAACTGTTGAGGCGATGGAAGGCTGTCCCTGTAAACATTGGTGATTCCGTCTGCAGATGCTAAGTTGCTACTATGTTTATTGTACTAAGTTGTACTAGTACAGAGCAACTCTAGCAGACCTTGCATCCCGCTTCGACCCGGAAAATAACCGCCAAAATGCGGGTCGGGGCGGAAAAACCTGCCCTATCAAACCCCGCATCCCGTCCCGGTCCGCAAAAAAATTTGGGGGACGCGGCAAAATCTCGGCCCCAACCTGCGTATTCGCGGGTTTTTCCCTTGCCGCTGCGATGCCCCGCATATAAGCGAAAGCGGTTGGTGGGGGACATTTCAGCCCGCGCTTTCCCCCACCAACCACCTCCCCTCGCGCCGCCACCACCCCGCCGCCCAAGATTCCGGCGAAAGCAGCCGGCAGGAGCTCGCCGAAAGGCCGCCACATGCACAAGGCCCGCAAAGGCGTTTTTCCGCGAACTGAAAACATATTTTGCGGGCCGGACAGATGCGGGGTCTGCTAGAGTTGCTCTAAGGCTGGGCATAGTGGAGAGTAACTTAGAGTAGTAACATGCATACGTTACTACTCTATGTTACTACCCTTATAGTGGGAAGTATTATATGTGTAGTAACATACACATGTTCATTTATTGTCTTGCAGACTCATTTTGCATTGAAAAGCGCTATGTGATGGTAACATATTAGGTTACTCTATTTATCTCTCTCCTCATTAACTACTTGTCACATCAACAATTTTTTTATGTAGCATCTATGTTACTATCTAGTATGTTACTTTTACTATGACCAGCCTAATATCCTGGAGGTTAGGCTGGAGGCTCTGTATGAGCTTGTTATTGCCTGCTTGTGGAGTCCCATGCTGGATTTTAATGCTGGAGAGTGTCGCCTTGATCGGCTGGCACAGGTCTTTATGCTTCCGTGGGAGGCTGCAACTGCAGTACATAGCTGCGTCACCACTCCGACCGATGATGTAAAAGTTGATGCCCTAAAATTGGATTTTACATTTGGAGAGAGAAGCTTTTGGGACATCAACAAAGTTTTTGTTGTAACAGCAATGCTCCAAAACTAGGAACCCGCTCCTCTACCGTGCCGCTGGGCACGGCAGAGTGCCGTGCCTTCATACGCCCAGCGTGTGCATTGATATGGGCCAGAAGGGCCTCACTCCTAGCCGAAAATCTATCTTAACAGCCCAGCCGTTCATCTGATGCATCATAGTTTCCTCCAAAAAAAAAAAACGGATGCATCACAGGGCTGCACAGGTCAACTAAGTAATTACTCCCTCCGTTTCTAAATATAGGACTTTGTATAAATTTCACTATAAACTACATACAGAGCAAAATGAGTGAATCTACACTCTAAAACGCATCTATATACATCCATATGTGGTTCATAGTGAAGTCTCTACAAAGACTTATATTTATGAACGGAGGGAGTATTTCCATACCCTCATTTTTTAATTATTTTCTGTTCCTAAAAAACTAATTAACTATTTCCCAACCCCTAACAAACTATTTCCTCTATAAAATACTAAGAGCAACTCCAACGGGGCAACCCATTTCGACTGCGCATGTCCGTCTGGATTGCCGCGGACAAAAAACACTAGCCAAACGCGCCGACCCAAATTCAAAATATGTCCGCTTCGTGTTCACGCGGACGCATTTTAGGCCCAAAGATGCGCCGCGCGTCCCCTAGGTGTCCACCGCGTCACCACACATCGGCAGGCCAACCACTGCATGCAGTCATATTTAACGCGGCCACCTACCGCGGGGCCACGCATTAGTGACTAGAAGCTACAGGGGCCATCCTTTTTTAATATAGCGCGCGCGTGTGGGGGGGTGCTCATCCACTTCTGCTGCCCGTCCACATCTAGCTGCGTGCTCCCTCGCCGGCGACATAGCAAACCCTAGCCATGGGCTTCTTCGGCGGCTCCAGCAAGAACAAGGGGAAGCTCACCCTCGACGCTTCCACCTCTGCCGCCGCTAGCGGCTGCACATTATGGTGCACCAGGCGCGGTGGCACTGCCAGTACAGGCAGCTGCTGCCGTACCCAGACGTGACCCTACCGCATGACTGGCATCTGGATCCGCAGCGGATCCCGGTGCCGCGGTCGCAGCGGGCGCATGCGTTGAAGGCACGCAGGCGGCGGGAGCTACTCACGCCGGAGCAGCGTCAGATGCCGGAGGAGCAATAGCGCCGCGGCTTCTAGCACCACCATACCAACCCCAGCCGCCCCAGTCGTCAAGAAGGAGGACGAGGAGGCTGCCTACCAGGCGGCGTTGGTGGCGGCCATGCAGAACCTCCATCGAGGAGGAGCGACGCATGGCGGAGGCGAAGGACACAGACTACCAGGCGCGGCTGGCGGAGGCCCTCGCCCTCTCTGCGGCAAGTAGCATGAAAAAATCCACAAAAAATAAAAATGTACCAATACAACTGATAAAACAATAACAAATAAAAATAGAAAACCATTTTTTATATATTTTTTAGAAACTTTAACACATGTATGCTTGAACATGTTGGCTAAAAGAAAAAAAATGAAACGAAACAATACCAATACCAATAAAAGCATTTTTCTTGTATGAGTTCATTTTCATTTTAGAATGTTGCTCACATGTATTAATTAATACTCCGTCCATTTCTAGATATAAGTCTTTTTAGGATTTTAATATGAATTACATATGGGTATATAGACAAATTTTAGAGTGTAGACTCACTTATTTTGCTTCATACATAGTCTGAAATGTTAAAAAGACTTATATTTAGGAATGAAAGGAGTAGGTAATTAGTCTTTTGAGACAATAACAATAAATTAGTATTTCATAGGGAAAATAGTTTTTTTAGACAAGGGGAATAGTTTTCTTAAGAGTTGGGAAGTACATAGTTAGTTACTGTAGTTTTTTAGCAAAAGAAAATAGTTAATTGTTGACCTGTGCTGCCGCGTAATGCATCAGGAGGCCTTTCTGGCCCATATACGCACGATGTTACGTAAGAAGGCACGGCACTGTGCCGTGCCCAGCGGCACGGTAGAGGAGCCGGTTCCCCAAAACTAGTGCCTTGATTTTTTTTTCGAAATGGAGGCAAAGATTGCATGATCTATTAATAAAGCAGAAGAGAATTACCCAGTTAATTACGAAAAAACCGGAACAACAAGGGTCAAGCCCACTCCCATAAACTGAAACACACAGGGCAAAGCTCATCCTCATCGACGATATGTCGACCTGCGGACAGACAACGCAGCTCCGATTCTGACGAAAAACTCAGAAGAACGAAACCAGACACGGCTGGCGCCACGGAAGATCGCCGAAAGGCCACAAGCAGCCAGTCATCGTACACCACAGGGCCTCGCCGCCGCAGCTTCGACTCCATAGCAACAAACAAACCGAGGCAATACCGTGGACACGCCGGAGAAGAGCCGACTATCGCAACCATTGCCGCGTCGCTGACATCGCTCCCACCATCATCGTTGCCACAGAAGTCTGGACGCCACCGTGATTCTCTCGGGGCCGCCGCCCCGACATCCATCGCTCCGTCGCGCCCAGCGCAATCAACCGGCACCACCTTTCGGGGCCGCCGCCCCGACATACCACCGCTCCGCTCGAGCAACAACGCCGCACAAACCAGCTGCCCGCAGCCCACGCTGCCCAGGGCAACCGCTCGCAGACCACGAACGTCGCACCACATCACATCCGGGGCCGCCGCCCCGACGCAAAGTCAGACCGCCCCTCTGGAACGCGTCGACCGGAAATTTGGAAACCAATGGAAACATATGATCCGACAGTGGAGAGGCAGGGAGGCGGATCTGACTGTCGCCGAGCAGACACTAAAACGCAACTTTCTGCATAAACGCGCTAAGCACCCAGCTGTTAACCAAAGCTGGCACTTCAAAACTAGTGACAAACACTACCTGGAGTGAAGGTGCCCGCGCGCGCAACTATCTGAGCCGTGTGTATGTCTACCGCTCGTCGCAACCCAGCGCCAGAGCTCCAGCAGCAACGCACAATGCGGTAAGAAGCCATGGACCTGTGTGAACAAGCCTTCACATACAGCGTTGTGCTTCACAGAAACTACAGGATTTTGTAAGCTACAGCTACAGCACTATCCACAAATTAAAAGTTCTGAAGTCTGGCGTGCTAATTGTAGACCAGGAACAGAAACAGCCACAGCCTTTGCCGGATGATGCACGGCGCCGCGTGCAGCTGAGCTAAAGCAATCCAAGTAACCCTGCAAGGTACGGTCCAATCCCAGATATATGTTAGACGCCACAGCTGACTCATGGCAACAAGCTGGGAAATTATTAAACCTGATGACTGACAATCGGAATACTTTTGACAGTGTGCTCAAATGGCCAAGGATCAACTAACACTGATCCATTCTTTTCCCATGTTTAGTTCATAGTACCAGATAGGCGACACGATCATGTAGCAAAAACACTAAAAAGAGTCCCATCAGAAACGAGTCATGCTCAATAGCAGCTAAGCAAAACGCAAGTTCTCCAGGTAATCGCGCTTTGTTGTGACAAAAATATGGCCAGGCCGCACCAGATCAAGAGCACCAAATGGGATGCGACCATTCGCCAGCAGAGCAAATGTGAGACTAGTCGTAGCCGTCGTATTGGTGCCCGCCCCTCCTTTGGTAACCATTTCCCTTTGACCGTGCAGCGTAATCCCCGTCGTAGCGCCCACCATATTGACCCCTTCCCCGCCCTCGCCCTGCAAAGTGAGCAAGTTCCAAAAATAAACAAGGCTTGTTTATTAAACTCGATTTTGATCAAATACAATACAGGGGTAGTTTTCCCGTTTCTTTGAAACTGTAAACAAATGTAAGACGTTTTGGCAGTTTAAGGATTATGATGCATTTTTATCATGTAGTCATGTTCTTAGGGTACTTGACAGTGGAGAAATTGAATTGCACTGGATAACATGAAAGACCATAGTACTGTCCCCAAATAATGAGGTTCCAGAAACCTCATCCTATGTGTCAAGCATATGTTTAGTACAGAACAAGACATACCCTACAAACAGCAACAGTTGGCACAAAGATAGTTGGAAAAATATATCTGCTAAACTACAGTCATGAGGAAATCAAAATTTGTACTTACTTCCACCGCCGCGAAAGACTCCACTGCCAGGCCTCCTCTCCTCAACATGTACTAGACGCCCATTCAACTCTATTGGAGATGACTGATGTACAAAAGATCACCATAACAAGATGTGTTCAGGTATAATATGACATCATATAGATGGCATTCAGCCATTCACAGACCACTCTGTTTCGCACATTTTATGGACATCAAACAATGGCTCAAACTAGAATGCAAATAATGAAGATTCTTGATCTAATCATGCAATCTAATCTACTACAATAGTTTGCTTGTCTGGTGAAGTGGAGGATAAAAGATCTTGACTATGTTGCTTTGCTTATGCAACAAATAAAGTCCATGGCTATTCTATGTAAGTTTGACCTTTCAACAAAATATATTTTTTGTTATGTTTCTTACTGTAGAATGTGAAAACATAAATGTTAGGCACTTGGGCATTTCAGCCACCAAACTCAGGACAGGATGCAAGAAACTAATTCACAATGTAGTTGTACGAAGTGATTCAAGGCATATTCTTTATAACCCCCTTTCTTCTTTTTCAATCCAGGGTCACCTGCACAAGTTGTGCTATAATAATGCAGAAGCATGAGAAACTGAGAAACTCACATCCAACGCATTCTGGATGCCACTCATGTTTTCATACTCAACAAATCCAAAGAAAACTCCAGCCTCCTGCATATTAGTACACAAATTAGGAAACCCAACAAGAGGAACTAGAGAAAAAGCCTAGAGCTAGATAGAAGGCAAGATACCTTGCGACTACGTATAGCAACTCCATCAGGTTTAATTCTTCCAAAAGCCTGAAAGACCTTCTCAAGATCGAAGACTGAAGTAGCTGGAGAAAGATTACCAACATATACTGATAGGAACTCTTCTGATAGAAAAAAAAAACAATCATCAGTCAATACACAACCAAAAAGATTATGTCCACAGGAATTATCAGACAGACACTAATACCTAGACATTGCAGATGAAAATTAGTGTTTTTCTTTTGCAAGGAATATAAAATTTATATAACAGAACAGGTTCAAATGTCTCTGGACAAGAGACCAAAAGTATGCATAATGCCACGCAAGTTCAAAGGTATATTGCTCGGTTTCCTGCACTTTACATACACCCAAAAATAATTCACTTAACTACCAGGTCAGAAAATCCACATGTCAAGAAAAAGATCACATACAGAAATCATTAGCATATTAATGAATCTAAAGGAACATGCCAGATTTAAATTTCCAATAAGCTCTTCAGCAAGAAAAATACAGCATTACCCAGGCTCCAATTCTTAAACACATAGTTAACCAGCAGCAGATGGACAGCTAGCATGCATGAGTAAACAATGATTGTGGAGGGGAAAATCATCAAACAAGCAATAAGATACCGCTACCATTAACCCCCATAATCATGATTATACAGCCACTCTCAAATATCAATAACAAATAACATAAGTTACTGCAATACAAAACACACAAAACAGAATGTGACACGAGAAACAAACCGAAGACAAAGCATGTGTACATATTCAAACAACAGCTTCCCCACTTAGGATTTCACCAACTGCTGGATAAAAAATGGGCATTAAGGGCCGGCTTTGGCAATGTTCCAGAATTTTCATGCAATATGTGTTTGGTGGGGCTTATTCTTGGCTTTTGCACGTAGGCTTAAAAGCCAAAAAAGCAACTGTTTATGGGCTTTTGGCTTATGACTCAATATTGTTACATGATGGAATAAGACAAAAGCCAAAGCCAAAAGCCCATAAATAGATGCTTTTTAGGCTTTTAAGCAAAAGTGCAAAAGCTAAGAATAAGCCCAGCCAAACAGCCTAGGCAGGCATTTAAGTGCGCCTAGGCTCAAAATGTCTAGCGCTTAATTGCGCATAAGTGTGCGCTTTGGTCAGAAAAGCACAAGGCGGTGCCAAACACACAATTAACGCCTAGCACTTTTTTAACTATGCTTCAAACTACCTAACAAAGAAGTTGTTAAATCCAAGACAGGAAAGTTTGAATAACAAACAAGTTGAAACCCATTCCCAGTGGTAAAGGGCAGAGGGTGTCAACAGAGAACAGCTAATAATTAGTGGGTAGATAAGTTTTGCCAAATGTTAGTACTTAGTAATAATAATAACAAACAAAAAACATAGGGCAGGTCTCAACAAAGGAGTCATGAGAATAAAAAAAGTTAAGAGTAGAAAGAAACCTTCATCCTCAGGGACACTGACATCCAGACGAGTGCCCAAGTTTGATTTTTCTTGCACTGGCACAGGCTGAGTTTGTCCAACCAGCTGTGATTCTGTGGTCCCTGTCATAGCCCTGTTAACCGGAGTGGAGTGGATAACCTGACCAGCATTTGCTCGCAGCTGACAAATTTGCAACCAATTACCATCAAGTTAAAACAAAGGATTCAGAATGAATAGAATTACAACATATGTTAGCTTACCACTGAAGCATATGTTTGCTTAGGCGGTTCTCCCACAGGCTCTTCTTCAGGTGTAGGTGGGGAAGGAGGGTGGGGAGGAGCAGATGCATCCTGTTTAATGTCTGTCGAACTAGGGAGGGAGGGAGCAGGATCTTCAAAATGAGTTTCTCCGTTGACTGCAGACTCAAATTCCAAAGGATCTTGCTGCTGCATTTCATGATTCTCATATATAATACCATTAGCCCTTTCGTCGGTATCAGCAGGAGCTGCAAACCCCTTTAATTCAAGTTCTTCAGCCACATAATCAGATGCTGAGGGATCAACCAACAAAAGAAAAATGGTTATCTTTTTGACCAAGGCTACAGTTGGAACAGACTTTTTCTCAATAAATAATGCAGAAGAATACATCAATGAACTGGAAATAAATGAATAAAGTAGGATTATGTAGAGAGGAATACTGCCCATGTAAAAAGGGTTACCACCAAAATTACGACCAAAGTAATAGCACTTAGAGTGAAAAGGAGGAGGTAAATGAGAAACAGACCAAAATAAACATATTTGTCAAAGAGAACCAGCACCGAAATGAACTTTAGATAGAGAGCGAAGAGCCGAAATGAAGTTGATTTACTGACTATATCATAGGACAGTTATCATGTAACTCAAATTATAGAGGTGTCAGGAAGCGATACCTGTTTCGGTCATGGTATTATGAGCAACCATCTGTGGAAATTGGTTAGCATAACCGTAATCAGCAACTTGGTAATGATCATCATACTCGTCACAGATGAGCTGAAAGATGTCACTGTCTACAAAAAATCCATCTGGTTTGACCTGAGGAGCAAGAATGATACTCTGGGAGAATCTCTTGCGTAAAGGGTAGCCTTTCAATTGCACTAGGCCAGTAACCAACAGAGTGATGGCTCCAGCCCATGATTCCAAGAAATTAGCCGTTTTAATCTCAACCTTTTGAACATTCATGGACATCAATATATCATTGATTTCCTGCATATTTTTGAAAGAACGAAAGGTGAGAGAAATCAGAAACCCTCAGTTTGCAAGCTGAAACCATTAACACAAGACGATAGAAAATATAAATTATAGATCCCATTACTTCAATGCCCAATTTTCAAGAAACTGAACTATGAAACATCCGAAAGCACAACAAGACCAAAGAATTATAATCCTCATGGAATCAACATTAACCAGAGACCTTATGAACTGTGATTACTGATTTATCATAAAACATAACTAATAAAATACAAAGACAACCAGTAATCCAAAGAAACCTTATAAACTGTGATTACTAATTTATCATAAAACATGACTAATAAATCCAAAGATCGCCAGGTAAAAAAATGAGGTTATAAAATTATGTTTCTGCATTTAAATTGCACAAAATGAGAAACCAACTTAACATGCAAGATCAAACCAAAATCAACATGTTTTGCTCTGTATACCCTTGAACACTAATATGTTTACTTCTATGAATTGAATAACGAAACCAGGAAATGAATGATAACCAAATAGACTACACAGAAGTTCTACAGTAACTGACACAAATCCCAACACCCCTACGAAACAATTCAAGCACCAGATCCTGAACCATAAAAACTTGTCAATTTGGTATCGGCATTTTTCCTAATAGATCGTCTTACGGAACTTTGCAACCGCTGCCTCCATGTTCCAAAAGGTCAGCAAGCAAGCAACACAAAATCTCAACATAAACCAAGCACATTCAGTCGGATGCATATAATCACCAAAATTCCACCAAATAGACCTGACATCAACATGCATTACACACCACCCAGTTGTACTCGGAACAACACAGCATGGCAATGACTATCGGCACCAAAGGGAAGTAAACACAGCAGAAACACGGCCAGATTGGGGTTCATACCTCGGCCGTCTCCCCGAACTGGGACTCCATGGTCTGGCAGTCGACCCTCACGACGGTGCTGCCGTCCGTGTAGAACTGCCGCGCCAGCTCCGGGGTGCTGGCCAGGACGCTGTAGTACCCCGCCAGGAAGTAGGACCCCACCTGCGGGCAACCAACCACAACCAAAAAACCCTACGCGTCAGGCAAAAACCCCAGGCTCCTCCTCCCCCAACCAAACCACCGCGCGCGGTCTCTACTCGGCGCGTCTCGGGCCGGCGCGGCGCTCACCTCGAAGGCGTAGGGGTGGCCGGCGATGCGGTGCTGCTCCCGCCGCAGTTCCTCCATGGCCGGCGAAAACCCTAGCGGGGGCGGGCCTCGGCTAGGGGACGGCGCGCCCTCTCGCGAGGCGCGCGCGGCGAGCGGGAGGGCGGGGACGGGGGCGGCTAGGGTTTGCGGGGGTCCGGGGCTCGTCGCGTCGCGTCGGCTTGTAGGTGCGGGGAACGGAGGCGAATGGGGGGTCGGAGACGGGGGATCGAAACGGGGAGGGAGGGGAAGGGAAGGTTTTAAAATGGGCTCACTGGTCGCCGCCTGGCTGCCTCGCTGGCATGTTTTTACTGCCTTCCTCCTTTCGCCATCCCGTTTCCTTTGCGGGAGCCGTCCCGGTCGTCTCGATTTGGTTGGTCAAGTCGCGCGGAGACGCTGGTGGTTGCGGTCGGTCTCCAGGGTCCGGCTGTGCCCATCGAGGATGGGTCCCGGAAAAAGTGGTTCCGCAGGGGAGGCTGAGCCTGCGGGGACCCCACCGTGCTGTAGCATCCGGACATTTTTTTTCTTTTGATAAAACAAATAAACATTGAGTTCACTCACGAAAAATTGGGTGTGATATTGGACGCGGGGCTTGGGAACATCGTTCCACGAGAACCCCTTCGAATGGAATAGTAAATTTGAAAAGAATGCAATTTTAAGAAAAATACAAAAAAAAATCCACTCCTATGTGTTGATAATCTCGCCTCACCTCCCACAAAACTTATATTACGCATGTGAGCGCCTTACAGGCGACCTTTCTCTCAAGCATGACTAACATGGGCCGATCCATTTAACGCGTGCATTAACTCAACCAAATCGACACTTTCCAAAAATAATGTCACGCATTAACTCATTCAAATCAGATCTTAAGAAAATCTCAATTAAATCTGAACTTTCCTTGTCTTCCACTACTCATATACAAATCAAATCAAATCTTATCAAAACATCAATAATAATTAAATTTGGCCGACCCATTTGACGCGTGCGTGCGTTATATTTTAGTTTCTTCTTTTAGTTTCATCTCTACTCCTAAAGGGGAAGTTCACAATATATTTTCGCCTCACCTTTCACCACCACCCTTGACATAGAATTTCTTTTCTCCTGTCACACGTTGGTTTTTTCCTTCACCTTTCACAATCATTTTTTCTTTTTTGATCTGCGTTTTCTCTAAATCGTTTGGCTCAAGACTATATCGGTATCCACTCAAATGCAGCAAATCTCTACCGAAAAAAAGAATCCAAATAAGTTCTTTTTTTTGCGGGGTAATAGGGTGTTTTTATTACTCAATCAAAGGGCACTCCGCCTTACAAAGTTCTAGAACAACACACAGACCCGATCGAAACCACAAAGCAGTGCGATTCTCACATCTACCATAATTAGCTAAAAAATGACTCACAATGTTTTGATCATGCTTTACATGTGTGCCCTTGAGAAATCAGATTCTTCGCCTCGTGACAGTCTGTCTCCACAACAATTGGTGGCGTAGTCCATTGCAAGGCAAACGTGTCCCCTCCTTACAGGTTGAGAGCTCCGCCTCTAGCGCATCCACACACAACCTCAAGGATCGACAAGCTGAGAGAATGATGGCTCCTACATCATCACAGACCATTCCTGCTCCAGCCGTACCATCCGCATCACAGAAGGACCCATTAACTGACAACCGGCTGGTGATGGAGACCATGCTAGCCTCGGCTGCTACTCCTGCTCACCCTTGGATGTCAGCACTTGCTTCCCATGTGGTAAGAGCACCACTTTGCCCTTCACGTGGTCCGCCGCTGGATTTTGCTAAATGTTATGGAGCGTGTTGACGTAGCTAAGAAGAAAGCGCATGAAAGATTCAGTATTCGGTGGCTTCTTGTTGTGGACGATTTCATTCCGCACATGCCAACACATCCATAAAGTCATCAGGAGGCACATACGATCAAGATTCAAAAGATTCGCGAGCATCAAAAGCAACCACTCCGGGCCCTTGTCTCTCATAGTACGCACGTCCGGGATATTCCAATGTTCCGCCATAGCTTGCCACAACGCGACCGCCCTTGGGCACCTGCAAAAGGCGTGATATGTATTCTCCCGCCTAGTCATACAAATGGGACAAACATCAGATACTTCAAGAGTTTCGGTGATGCTTATTTTCCCAAGTAGGGAGGGAGTTAGTAGCCAGCCACCATGCAAATACACGCACCTTCGGAGGAGCAGGGCACCTCCATAAATAAGCCCAGACGGCTCGTCGCCTGTCTGGTGTCCTGCTCGCTGCCACTAAAGACGGTCGGATGCGCTCGTTGAGGCCCAACTGATAAGCGCTCCGAACAGTTAAGGCTCCAGAACGCTCTGGTGCCCACACCAGAACATCGTCACCGAGCCTTGGCGATGTATGAATCTTGAGAATAGCATCAATATCTACAGGAAAAAACTAGCGGTGAAGGAGATCCAACCGCCAATTGCCATGTTCATTCAGCAGCGGGCCCACACGGCGAAGACGACACCTTCCCTGCGGAGAAATTGGCACGGTAGGTTCCCCTCGCTGAATCAACTGGTCGCGCCATATGCAGATGGATGCACCGTTTTCTACCCGTCAAAATAATTCCTTTTTTCAACAATTCCAGTCCATGCACAATTGCTTGCCAAGTCACCGAAGCACTTCCATAGAACACAGTATCGAGCATGTCCCCATTTGGGAAATAGCGTGCCTTTAGGACACACGCACATAAACTATCTGGGACTATGAGGATACGCCACGCTTGTCAGGCGAGTAAAGCTTGGTTGAAAATCCGCATATCTTTGAATCCCATTCCACCATGTGACTTTGGTTGAATTAAATCCTTCCATGCACGCCAATGTGTTTTTCTCCTACCTTTTGTGGCTCCCCACCAGTAGTTTCAAAGCATACTAGTAATATCATCACATGTAGCAAACGGTAGCCTAAAAACACTCATCAAGTATGTTGGCAACGCCTGGCCTACTGATTTGATTAGTACCTCTCATCCACTTTGAGCTAGCTGAGAATCCCCCCACAACACAAGATTATTTGTGAGTCTCTCTTGAAGGTTTTCAAACCAGCCCTTTGACATATGCCCTTGTGGAGTTGGGAGGCCGAGATATTTTTCCTCGAACTGAACATTCTGCACTTGTAATACTTGGACCACCTCCTCATGATCTGAACTCCTACAATGTTCTCCAAACAAAATAGAACATTTGGCAGGGTTGATCAATTGTCCCGTAGCCCGAGCATATGAATTTAGGACCCCATGGATCCTCAAAGCCTCTCCTGTTGTGGCACAAAAGAACAAAAGTGTGTCATCCGCAAACACTAAATGGGTTGTTCCGTGCGCCCGCGGACAGACATGGAGTGGGGTAATATGCATATTCTCAACATTCTGTCTCAATAAAGCAGCAAGGCCGTCTGCAATAAAGAGAAACAGAAAAGGTGAAAGAGGATCTCCCTGCCGAAGGCCGCGCTTTGGTGCAAATGAATCCGAGAGGGCTCCATTAACATTAATCTTGTATCTCACTGTGGTGACACATGACATTATCCATTGCACCCACTGATGAGCAAAGCCCAGCTGTTGCATCACTCGCTCCAAGAAGATCCAATCCATGTGATCATAAGCTTTAGATAAATCAAGCTTATATGCACAGAAACTCCTATTCTGGTCCTTTTCTTGCTTGATGAGATGAGTACACTCAAAGGCCATAAATGCATTATCAGTAAACAACCTACCAGGCACGAATGCACTCTGTTATGGGGAGATAATGTCACCAAGAAGAGGTCGAAGGCGATTAATAAGACACTTGGAGATGATCTTGTACACCACATTGCATAAGCTGATAGGCCGAAACTCAGTCATCTTTGTCGGGTTGTCCACCTTAGGGATGAGGACGATGGTTGTGGTGTTGACGCCTTGGGGCATTTGACCTGTATCAAAAGTTTTTCAAACACACAATAAGAAAGCGAGAAGATAAATCTAACATGGATGATACAGTGAAAAAGTATGAACACCGACAACTGGAATAAGAAGTGTGAACATGAATGTAATGTCAGTGGAATTACGTACTCCCCCAAGCTTAGGCTTTTGGCCTAGCTTGGTAATCACCGTCCACGGCCTCCATATTAGTCAGACTGGTAGCTAATAGAGGCCTTTGGTGCAGCCAACTCAGCCCACCGAGCAGTCGCAACCTTCGCGTTGTGCACGCGAGCCTCGCTCTCAGAAACATAATATCTTCTCTTGCTGTCAAAATCAAAGAGAGGAGGCGCATGCAAAGCAATATGCACGATGTCTTTTTTATTGAACCTCAGGTTATAAGTATAATTATTAATTTTTCCCTTCAGGAACTTATGGCGCTTCATGGCCTCAAAGTCTAAGTACTGAGTAGGTAGGATGGGGTCATTAGGCCAAAGTGATACACCCAGCTCTGTTGTTAAGCGTGAAGCATAAATCCCACCATAAAAATAACCACTACCAGCATTATGTTGCAACCTGCGTGCAATAATCGCCCCAAGGTTATAACATTGGATACCGGTGAGGGCGGTGTGTATGAGGCTCAAGTCAGGAGCACATAGTGTACTACAGTCTTATTTGCCTACGATGCATTTGCCATTAAACAGTGCAAAATATTGGATTGATGGGAAGTGAATACTTTTTATTCTACCTTGTGTCACTCCTCTATCCTCTCCAAAACAAAGGCTAGTCAAGAACGTCTCATAATCAGACCTTGGTGGTTCGTCTAGCAAACCCCAAAATGGAATTTTGCACATATTAGAGAATGTCTCTAGAGGTAAGGTAAATGGATGGTTATACAGTTTAAATGACACTCTAGACTCATGAGGAAGAAATTTAAATTCTTTAGTAAATGATTCTATGAGGCTGAGATGCTGGTTGCACTTATCACTACAAAAAAAATACACTTCCATGATGATACATGTTTGTCACAGTAGGTCATGTTTTCTGTCATGCATGTACATCCATAACGATTTTATGACAGAATCAAGATAGGCATACCTGTGCTGTTGTAGAAGTGTTCCATGACATTACCAAAATTAT